AGCTACAATGGGTAATTATGTCACACCGATTGCGTTCATAATCGCAGCCACTTGTAAAATTAATGAGCTGCAGGAGATAATATTGGTCAAGGCATCGCGAGTATATAATTCCTACGCACGTAATTATCTAATAGTATATTCCATCGCGAAACGAAGCCTAATAAATTTCGATTACTCCTAAAAACCACAGGTTTCCCACGTGAGAGAGAGAGAGAGAGAGAGAGAGAGAGAGAGAGAGAGAGAGTATATATATATAAATATATATATATATATATATATATATATGGGAAAAAACGACAACTTTTCCGTCAATTGCGGGATTCCATTTCGCGGCGTTGTTGGTCGGGATGCAAACGGGGCCACGTAAATCGAACTGCCACGGAAAATTAGCGTTAACGAGAAAATCGTTCGCAAATCCGCTTTACGACTTACGTGTATGTATTTGCAATCTCGTCTTTGTCCCGCGACGCCACAGCGGCATTTCGCCTATGTTCGTTAGTGCGTGATAATTTGCGCATACACAAGGTTACTCCCCCGAGATGGACGCCCTTTGAAACATTTTAAACGCGTACCGTTTTCGTAAAGAACGGGCGCTGTGCGTTTGTTTTTGTTTTCTTCTTCCTTTTTTTGTCGAGGAAGAAAAGAACGAGCCCGAAAACTTTTGCACGGTAGACCGAGAGAGGAAAATGTTAACGCTTTACAGAGGCGAGATACAGAGGAGAATTTACGTTTACCGTAAACGTAAACGCGCCGGAAACACGGATAGCGTGCAACTGCAGCGTTGGTAGCTAACCCACGGGTTTGTCGCCATTAGTTACAACGTTTCCCATTTTTTCTTGGCTCCCCGGCTGCAGTGAAAATCGTAATTTACGAGTCGGTCGGCCGAGCGTTAATTAACCGGTTTTCGAAGTTCCCTTGACACGCGGACACGCCTAATTTCTAATCTAGAAACTTGGGTCGCGAGTTTATTGCGCTGAGAGAACAAATGGACACGAATTAGCAGCCGTTGGATACGTTTTGATTACGGAATGATCATCGTACAGAAACTGTGGCTTTTTAAGTGATATTAGTTGAAATAATATTTTCTAGTACTTTATTTTATAGTTGCTTGAAATAATTGTGAAGTTCTACTTATTAATTCGAATTTAAAATATATATATATATATATATTATTCCATATCGCTTCAAAATAGAAATTGATCCTGTGTTTTCACCGAAATATGTTTCATTTCGACCAAAGAAAGCGTGAAATAATTTTTATAAACAATCGTACATTTTGATCAAAATCGACAGGCATTTTTCCTTTCTTCAGGAATTTTTTTCACGCAAATAATAGAAGTTACGCGTACATGTTATTTGACGAAATACGCTGCATTTTGATCGAGGAAGTAGAAATAATTTTTATAGACAATTTTTAATTTTGACCAAAATCGACAGACAACCCCCTTTACGAATTCTTAAAAAGACCTTCCTTTCATTTTTGAAAAATTGGGTTTTCGCTTTAAAGAAAAACTTTCTGTACGATTTTTGTAGGGTTCCGCGAGGTCTGTAACGAAAAAAAGTTTCAATCTAAAATATCCATTATTAAGGGAGCTATGAATTTTTAAAAATTTGACAATTTTTTACATATTTCACCACCAAAAAGAAGTGAAAAATGAAATGTTTCCATAGTTTCATATTTTTTTTAAATTCTCTATCAAACGACACGCGGTTTCCTGTTTCGATTGTTGGAATCCGTTTACCCAATCAAGAGTTATGATTTTTTCAGATTTTAACCGAGACTTCTGACCGAAATCTGTCGCGCGCTACATAACACGTACCTATATTGCGCGGTAACTCGAATTTGATCACGGATAGAACAAAATTCCATAAACAAAGGTTGTACAATATAAAAGCGTCCTCAAAATTGCGAAAGCAATTTTTTTGCAACGTGTGGTGAAAAGGTTTATGGCGCGGAAAATATTATTAAAAATAAATTCTTTTTTTTTGATTTCTTACTGCGACGTTATAGAACGTTAAAAACCGTTACATATTGCATTGAAGAACCGTTCCTCGACCAAAATGAAAGGTAGGGATTGTGATTAGCTTTCCATCGACTTCATTTCAGCAAAGATTCAAATTATTTCGACGTGTATCGATTCCTAAATATCCCTTGTTAGTAACAACACGAAGAATTTAACCCCGCGCCTACTAAATTCAGGTTTTAATTTCACCCAGTCCTGCGTGAAGCACCTGCTTCGAGCTTTACTCGTAACATGACGTTTTCTCGATCTATTTTTCCAATTCTGACCGAACACCCACAACGGGATTCGTATCTGGAGATTGCGGTGACGGCAGTATGTGCACGGTATTAAAAGCGAGCCATTGTTTAACGATGTAGGCCATGTGTTTTGGATCGTTGTCGCGTTGGAAATAAAAATTCACGAGACCCATTTTTCCGGTGCTTTTCATCATATTATCTTTTAAAATTAAACGTTCCGCGGTCGTTTTCAGCGTTTTATTTAGCGAAACGGTCCAACCTTTTCAACTTCAAAATTTCAACTCATCTTTCACTTTGTAAAACGGCTGAAATCCTGAAATTCGCAATTCAATTTCTGAAATTCACAAAACAAAAGCGAAATGTTGTGTAGAGAACAAAGGAAAAATTATCAACAGCGGACGCGCGTTAATTGATATTGCGTTTTTGTGAATTTCATGTAACGAAGAAGAGCTGAGAAAATTTTGGGTAAAAAACGTTGCACGATGAACTCTCGATGTAACGTCACTGATCGAGGTTTCCGTCTCAATCTAATATTCGTGATCCGTAAACACTATTAAAATTATATTTGAAAAAAGACAAATTGCAGATAAGCAAAATTTGTCGCCGCATAAAAGGCAATGGCGACTGAGAGCCGTCTCTCGAGTGCAAGGGGATAATGCCGCTCGATCCCATGAAAAGAGCGTTGGAGTATGGTAGGCGGTGAATCGCATAGTTCACGACGTAAGGCAAACATTCGCAGTGAACGTAAGCACGATGCTGGCGATCGTTACAGCCGCACAATATAAGCCACTTAAAAATCAGAGGTGGACAAAAGTTTCTTTGAATAAAATATCAAAACTAATTCGATTCTATACATCAAAATGATTCTAAAACTAGACCTTACATTTTTATGTTTCTATTGTCCAGTGTATCATAATTTATCTTAACAAAATTCATATATAAAATACGAAAAATAATTTCTTTTAATATATCAAAATGATTCTAAAACCGAACCTTCATGTTTCTACTGTCCAGTGTATTAGGTTGTCCCGAAAGTTTCTTTCGTTTTATTAATAATTAATATATACACAATAGTTTATGTTTTATGTTACATTACTGAATTGTGTACGATTCATTTCGCTTCATTACTGTTACAGCATCAATGTCTAAAAAATTAGATTGTCTATTTATATAAACACTGCCACAGAAAATAATTGAATGCAACTCACTAAAGAAACTTTTGGGACAACCTAATATCATAGTCTATCCTAGAATGTTATTCCTGAATTTTCTTTTCCCCTAACTTGCCAATTCTACACAACTTCTACGACTTGTTTTCTTTATTCCTGTTGTTGAACGATAAGTGTATGTTACTCAATCAAATAGTTTTTTCTGTACTGTTACGTATCATCCAGATAAAAAGTTGCTAGGATGCGATCAACATTTTTATGTAACATTCATATTATTGGACTAGCTTACACGATTACCAGTTCTTATGCTGCACATTTAAGCATGGAAATGAATTCTGTGCCTCTCCAAGGCAAGTTTACCATTTGTTTATCAAGAATAATTGTACAACTTTTAATCTTTCCTCGATGATACACTCCAAGAGAACACGCATGGTTCTAAAACCAAATGACGAGTTGTTCTGCATGTTTTATTACTATGATAGTTGATACTTCGATATAATGAAACAGCAAGTTAATAGATATAGGTAGAGAATTACTTTTTACGACTAATAATTGTCAAGTATACTACCAGTCTGGTAGAAGAACAACGATAAGCAGTTCTACTGAAATTCTAACATGCGGATAAATTGTAATGGCTGTCAAATTGGGACTTGGATCGTTATCCTTCCAATGGATTACAAACGTACTTGATAATTATGACGAATATACATTCGTTTATCCAAGAATCATAAACGATTAAATATAGAGGCACAGAATTAATTTCTATACCTAGTGTGCACATGTCAACTTTGCAATTCAAATTCTAATCTTTATTACGGGCGAATAGTTGTTTACCTCTTATTCGTTACACATTTTTATCTAGATATTCAGTTTGCCCCTCTTTGGCACAAAATGAACGTCACATCGATCGAGCCCCGCGAACCGTTTGACAGGTAGCACAGGCTAATCGGCGAGCATTTAAAGGGAATTTTGCAAGGCGAGTTGTACACCGTAGACACTACATCGATCGCGGTGCGCGTTGCGCGTGACATTTGCCGCTCGTTCGGTTGGGTAAGGGTATAAAAAAAAAAAAAAAAAAGAAATAGTAAAATATTACGTACTAGTCTAAACGAGCGTAAGAATTCAACCCTCGAGTGGGTGTCTGAAAGCGTTACATAAGTGGCATCGCCGAGGTCTGACAGACCCAAATTTGGGGAAAGAAAGATCCGAAAGTTTGACAAGCCTCGCGAGAGACGATAGTTTCGTAATCGACGATACTTTAGAAGTATGTTTTCTATTCGCAAACGTTAACTGGGACCATTAGACACCACCACCGAATGCTTAAAAGTTTTCGAGTATCTAGTTCGAGACGATCCAAAGAAATATCGATTCCACGAACAAACGTATCTCGAGTACGAGTTACGAACGCGAGAAACGCGATTTTTTGCGAAAGCAGGGAAAAAGAAGAATTGACAACGAGATCGGCCGCGATGAAATTGTCCGGCGTGATCGATTCGTGGTGGCGTTGTTACATACGTCTCCCGTCACGTCTTTGTTTTTCTATTCCGAAGCAGAATCGAATCTGTACTCACCTGGACCCGGCAGATCGTCAGAACGGCCAGCAGCGCGGCTACCAACATCCCCTTCATCTTTCGTCCTCTGGCTGGCCCCGTTGTTAAATTCCCGAACACGATCGTACTTTCGATTTCCTCGTTTCGTCCAACGTTTAATGCGCCTCCCTCGGTTTCTTCTACCGTGTAACGACGACGCACTGATCGTAACAAACGCCAGAGAAACTTTTGCGGAACGATTCGCTGTATAAGAGAGCACCCACACACCCGCCGTATACGAGACCGCAGCGTACTACTGTGACACTGCTGCTGGGTGGGTCGCTTCACCGAGAAAACCAAGATGGCGGCGGAGCGCGGCGCCGGTGCCGCTGAAACGATTCGACCAATCAGAGGCCTCGGCTGGGTGGCCGCGAGGAGGGGCGGCGTTCGCATGCGCGAGGTGGTCAGTCGATAATGTGGCGGGAATCTTTGCGATTTTTAAACGGCAACGTTTACTCCGCGAAGTGCGAAAGGAAACTTTTTAGCGTTGGTCACACGCTGACCGTGTGATTTAACGACCGAAGTAAATTCCGCACGGAACAACGTGTTCGAGTCGGTAACTCGGGCTTCCGCGAAACTTTTTACCTGGAGAAATGTTTAATTATCCTCCTCTTTGCTTCGCAGACCAACACCTACGAGCTTGAGTCGACATTTTTTTGGAAGGATAAATTGGTATCTTGTCGTTTGTTTAACGTGTCGACTGGCACGGTAATTGCCAGCAATTTAATTCGATTAAAAACTGTAATTAAAGCCAATTTAATTTAATCATGATATATTATTAAAAATTCTAACCACAGTATTAGGTTGTCCCGAAAGTTTCTTTCGTGAGTTGCATTCAATTATTTTCTGTGGCAGTGTTTATATAAATAGACAATCTAATTTCTTAGGACATTGATGCTGTAACAGCAATGAAGCAAAATGAATCGTACACAATTCAGTGATGTAACATAAGACATAAAATATTGTGTATATATTAATTATTAATAAAACGAAAGAAACTTTCGGGACAACCTAATAAATAAAATGTAACAAAAGTATGTGCGTTGGAATACTGCGAGTTAACAAAGTCAAATCTAATAAGACAGTATACGTTTTTACATGGACGATTATCATTGAAAAATTACAGGATCCGCTGGTTTATGTTGCCTGGGGCACAGCGATGCATTTGGCGTACAATGGGTATTGATCGAGGCATATATAATTAATATTTTGAACGAATATGCGATCGACGACACGCGATTACGCGAAAATTCAATTAAACGTTAAATTCGATCTATGCGTCTATATTCTAATTGCGGCGTGCATTGTTTCAAACTATTTGATAACAAGCTACTCTCTAGGTCCTAGGTACGGAAACATCAACCGATGCCAATCAATGACAGAGTTTGGACGCGTCATCCGTCGCAGTCAAACTATGTCTCGATTCTTGAAAAAGGGAACAAAACAAATCAGAGTTGACAAGCCTATAAAAAGATTGTTGTTCGAACGCAAATGAGAAAAAAACTAAAACTCGTTTGAAACCGATAGATTAATCAAGGCGTCGAAAACAATTGCTATATCGATTCATTCCCAACCCAGTTCTTGTATTTACGTTCCTTCTTAATTAAACGAAACGTCAATAGTATTTATCGATTATTAATAAACGCATGGATTACGTGGTATTTAGAATTAGTTTACAAGTTTACACTCTTTTAAAAGATCGAGAATATGAAAACGATAGGTGATTCGAAAATAGTTAATGCGTGGAAAAGATAAAAAAGATTATTGAAGAAAAAAAAAAAAAAGTTTCTAAAGCATTTTTTAGTGACGCAGTTAGAAATTTGCAGAACACTTGCATTCTCTTTCAACGTCACTATCGTTGGACCAGTAACGACGCTATTAATACGCAAAGAATAATACAACAGAGTGACATCATGTGTACATTCGCCTATAATACGTCCCTATGCGTGCAATGCGTAATCAAGGCGAGGCCGAATGATGAAGACGAAGACATAATCAAATCAGTGGAACGAAGCGTCGTGGCAAGCGTACGTCAAACACTATTTAAACATTTTAAACCAAGATTCTGGATTTTTGCAGAACAACGAAAAGCGAAATTTGATGACTGCTACACTTGTAATAGAGATTAGGTTTAGTGCAAATGACTCGTAAATATTTCAAACTAAACTGGACTTACAAATGTAAAAGCACTGAATTAATTTCCGCGCCTAATATATATTAATACAAGCTACCAATTATTGCTGCACATTATCATTAAGTCCTGCCTGTTTCCCAAAATTAAGTAAGCAGACAACCAACACAGTCGATCAATTCCAGGTGGTAAACATTGAAATTAATGTGAATTAATATTAACTCGTGCATACTATTAAAAGCTCCGTTTCCCAAAATTAAGTATCGCGAGTAGCCCACTAACGACACAGTTAATCAATTCCTGAAGGTAAATATTGGTATTAAAGGGTGCTGCTCATAACGCGAGCAACAATATTCGATACGTGAAAATATTAAATGAAATTTCTCAAGTGATCTTCCCATCGAATCCTTCCTTATGATCTCCATAGCCTCGAATAACCCTTGTACACCTTCTTATCGAGCATCTATTTGACATTTCGTTCGTTAACAACGCCCCCCTCCTGCCTGATTTTTCTATTTTTCGCCCGAGCCACCGGACCCGGAAAATTACACATTCCGCGTGGCTTTTATCGGTCCCTCTTTATTTTTATTTTTATTTTTTTATTTTTTTTTTTTTTCGTTCCTCCCCCTCCGAGAAGAACATGAAAATGCACGAGCAGATAGCCTTGGCCCATACCTTTGCCCGTGTGTCGGCCACCGTACCCACCGGTTACCCTGGAAACGGTATCGATTTCAACCCTCAGCTATGCAGCAGAAACCAGCGGCACACCATGGGGGTCTCTTCGTCTCGAGTTTCGACAAGGCAAGCCCCGTTCGAGCCGCCCGATTACAGCCACCTTTCGTCTCTATTATCGCCTCTGCGTTTTCGTTTGGCGCAGAGACGAAAAATCAGAGCGCTTTAACGTTCAAACACGAAGAATTCGTCATGGATGAATATTCGAGAACGATTAATACCGAGCATCCACGTGTCGAGGGTACTAGACGGTCGAATTGGTCCGGAGATAGTGTTCTTTGGGAATGAATTGCCCGGAAAATTAACGGTGATCCCGATTTCTCGTATTACGCGACGGTCGGGTGGATCTTGAGGACTATGGAAATTTATTTTTTTAGTTCCGAATATCGGGGGTTCGTTGTGGATTCGAATCGAGAAATTGTAGATGTTGTTGGCGAAGTTACTCCCAAGGGTAGGAAAGCAACTTTTACTCGCTAATTCGAGTTGCGCGCTTATGCTCGGAAATGGCGTTCACATTAGGAATTGATAATATTATTTCTATACTGTAAAATTCACGGAGATCTGCGAATTGTAAATGTTATCGTTGAATTTAGTCCAAAGAGTAGCAGGCAATCTTCGCTCACAAGTGATCCGCTTGCGCTTGGTCACCTATCAAATTAATAATAATATATTATTCCATAAAATTCGCAGATATTACAGAATGCACTCTGCTTTATTGATATTTGATTTTATGTGCTTTCGAATATGAAAAATATCCACGTACCACGAGACACTGATTATTTAATTGCGAGATCATTTTTACACGCGGAAGACGACACGTTTAGCAGGGATTGTTTATCGTTGGAAAATAAAGGCGTTCGAGCGCCGCGGTCTGAATAATCCCGAGCCCCAGCGCGTACGATGTACCTGGAAAGATTTAATTAACTTTTCCAATCGGACCACGTCACTTTGAGAGCGTTGCAAACATTTAGCAACAATGGAGAAGATTCTCAACGAAACGTTACTAAATTTTCAGACATGAGATTACAACTTCGTTCTACAACCACGCGTGAGATTCAAGGTGGGTTTATGGGGGCAAAATAAAGTATCGCGAGCCTGATCCCTGGTTCATCGGTCGAGTTCAATGTAAACATCACATTCCACGGTCGCGGTTTGTTGATGTGTACCGGCATAAACGCCACGAGCCTCGTGGTAAATTCTTATCATCGCTTTAACCGAAACAAGCATTTATTCGAAAATTCGAATTAAACATTTTCGATTATCGTTATCTATTTCCAGAGAATGAACCTATTGTATATCTACCACAATTGTTAGCACTTATCGTTTGTTGTTCAATGGAATATATAAGGTTGCCCCAAAAATTTCCTTCCTATACATTATAACAAATATATTGTGCTGTCTGGAAAGTCCATGCTGATTTTTAGAAGGCGGTACAGGTCTGAGTATGTCGGAATTGTTGAAAACAAATAACATATGTACGCTCCTTAAAGGGTGCAAAGGTTGTGGAACAAAATGGTACATATATAATTCAATAAATATGAATCAATATTCAAATATGCCTTTAAAGTTTTCTTAAAAATAGGCATGAACTTTCCGGACAACCCGATACATTCAGTTGCTGTATAAGTAAACAGCCTCGATTCGTGGAGGTCGACGTTATCCTTCTCAGTCACCGTCAGTCATTCATTCATTTATTTGAAGTGCGTAACTTATACAAAGTTATTGCACCACAGCTTACTTATTACTAACTTATTTCTATTCTTCTTATCATCGTCTTACATGACACCTGCATTGTTTTAATACTGTTTGCAGTATCTCTTACTTTTCATCTATTTGGGGCCCGCTGGGCCCCCCCCCCCCCCGCCCCCCACCCCCTCTAGCTCGGGTACCTCGGGGTTGCTAAGCCCGTACTGTAGCTACAAATACCGCTACAGCCCCTGAGGACTCATTGTCAGTCATCGTCCAACTATCGTCAAGAACATTTCGTTCCAAGTTTCACAGGATAAAAGGGAATGACAAAAGTATCAATCAGCAGCACCGTCGAGCGTTTATTAACAGAAACAAAGAAAGCGGCAATTATAATACTTCTCTGCAGACACTACTGGTAGTCCCGTTTATTATGCAATGTTTTTACACCAAGAAACGACGAAATCTAATTAACGCTTCATCGATAGTTGAAACGCGAACGGAGAGGTCGGTACCGTGGCGCGTACCGCGACCTTTTCATGGTTTCTCCTTCTCTGGGAGCTCGTACAATCCGCAAACCTTGTTCGCCGGAACCGCTTTATCTGAAAGCGTTAAACAACATTTTTAATGGCTGCCCGACAGTTGGTACGAAATTTCCAGGGTAATTTCGCGCGAAACGGCTCGTCGCCACTTCGGGACAAACTACGGGAAGAAAATTAGCATA